GATCTCCTCTGCATGAGGGCAGATCCACATTCTGGCTGACAAAAAAAAGATGGTTCATCAGACTGGCATGCATGAAAACCTTTATGCTGAAATGGACATTCCTGAAGGACAGATGATCAATAAAGCAAATATGAAGGATTATCTCATCAACAGATCTTCATAAGGTTATTCAGACTATTATTTATGAAATTGATAATTATTTTAATTGTAAAAGTTAAACTATTTACATGTTTATCATAAACAGAAAGGTAGAAGACGTAGAGGATTTTGATCCAGCAACCTAGCTGCTCTGTTTGGAATACAGACATGCCCTTAGTACATACCATTAATCCCTAACAATGCAGGTAAAGTTAGTGTGTAAAAAGATGAAGCCATATTTGATAGTCTTGTCTAATTGATGGACATACAAAGGGACAAATAAAAGAAAAATGTGGCAGAATGAGTCAGGACAGGATATGTCCAACTCTTATGAGAACAGACAGGAAAGATGGACAATTTAAGAGAGTTGGGAGACGGAGAGTGAGGGAGAGTTGAAAAACAGTTTTCACCAAGAGAGTTTTACGGAGACAGGTTACAGAGAGAACAAGCTAGAGACAGGTGAAGACAGAAGAAACTACGGAATAAGAATGAGCTAAAAGATGGAAAAAGATTGTTAGAGTTGGTCTGAGATCAAGGTCAACAATTCAGTCAGAACCTGAAAGATGCCAGTTTGAATCAGTCAGCTTGGAAAGGAGATTGAACAAGAAGAGCTGAGTTGATCTAGCCAGTCAGAATTCAGAAAGAGCTAAGTAAAGCTCCTTACAAGGAACAGCTAATTCTTCAGCTGCAGAGACACATCAGGTTTTTCCATATGATACAGGGTTTGTTGACATGTAAATAGAAAGGATTAATGTGCTATGGGAAGTTTTACCTATATTTTTAAAGAAAGTTTGGAAGCTTAGTAAATGGTAGGGGAATCAGTTTTTCTGAGAGTTAACTGTATGGAGATGTAGATATGAAGCTTAAGCTGTAATAAGCTCCAATATACTAGAAATGAAAGAAATATGGAGCACAGGGCAAGAAAAGCTTGATGATAAGAGTGCCGTCTCCCAAGGAAAAGGATTATGTAATCTGTAAACAGCAAGAACCAAAAAGGCATGGTTACCAAAATCCATCGACAATGAGTATTGCAGCAACATGTGTCCTAGCACTGTAAACAAAATTATAGGACTTAATATTTCTCATTCTAGGTTTGCTACTGAAATGACTACTTATTTTTTATTTTAGATACCTGATCCTTGCTTTGGAATAAACAATCATTTTTGTTCTTATTATATATTGGAAATATGTAGTTTTTTTAGAATTTATAGTAGCTCTTAGCTAAGAGTTTGCCTTGAGTATTAGAATATATTCGATCATGGTGTTTTGAATAGCTTTGTAACTATAAATAATTTGGTGTCTCATGGAGTGGAATTGAATACATAAGAGATGAATATGTGCCAAGTCCAGCATGGCTGTGTAAGGGGAGTTCCTGACCCTGCAGCATAAACACACTGTTGATCCCCATGATACTCATGTGTACTGATGACTGACTGCTGTTGGCCTGAAACTCATCTACAGTCACTTCTATTTTACTTTCAATCTGAGGAATATACTCAAGGTATTCATTCCATAATAAATAAAAAAAAAAATGCGGTTCTCAGGGATGAGGAATGCAGGTGGTCATGAGGCTGTGGAGGATGAGAAGCAGACCTTCCTCTCGGCCATTAGGGCCATGGGAAAGGATCTAGACAGAAAAACATAGAGGCCATACAAGAAAACATACAGAACCAAAGGATAGAAAAACTTAGTAAAATCGTATCTAGGTTATGGATGTTAAAAAAATAAATTAAAATAAATCTCTAGTGGACTTCAGGTCACTCAATTATTTGAAGAACTTTCAAAATAATTCCAAATCATCATATTATTCTGTATATTGTACAAATATTTTAAAAAACTTAACTATTAAATTCACACTGAATTTGGAAATTTTATCTAAGGTAAAATGATCATATCTTTACTATAGTTTAATAAAATGGCTTAGGAAATACTCTTAATCTTAGAAGCCAAACAATAGTCTAGTATTCAAGGGATTTCTTTTCTGTTTGTTCTTTGTTTTGACATTCTAATAGTATTTTTTGTGGGAATAAGGTATAAAGGGTTTCTAGTTAGTGAAAATCACTATAGTAAATACTCCAACTTTTTTTATGGACAATTTCTACCAGGTACCTTGAAATCACCCTTCATTTGCTGGGAGGACAGAAAAGGCAAGTCTCCTACACTCAGTCTTGTTATCTTCTAAACTAGATTAGTCATTTACATTCTGAAAATAGTTGAAAAAGGAGGCTTTCAAAAGCTTCTTCCTGCTACCCTTGTAATGAATGAATAAGAATAAGACCAAGCAAAGATTGCTAATTTACTTACTAAGCCTGTGATTCTACACCTGGTATTTGGTAGGTGAAATATTCTCATGTATATCTCCAAACTCCACTAATACTTTTTATATTGAAAGCCAAAGATACTTGATATAAACATGAGTCTTCCTACTAGTTTTTACTCTAAGGGTAATTGTACCTTCAATTTAATGATAAACCTCTAGGTTTTTTTTTTTTTTGGAAATCATGTTAAAGTGTTCAGAATAGTTTAAATTTTACAAAGTCAGTCCTTTACAAAAATGAAACTTTTATAGTTAGCACATCAATTCATGAAGTTTCCACACAGAATTACATTTTGTGTTGCAGTGTTTCTGAAGGATTATCTAACTGAAAATTCTATGTATCTCTCAAACCTTTCTGAATGTGTTGAGAACTAATAAAGTTATTAAAGCTTCTGTCTGGCTACAGTTCTAAGGGCTTCTTTATTTGTTGTTTGTAAGATAACACAGTTAACTTTAGAAATTATAATTGCTAAATAATGATACAAGGAATATGGATCCTATAGAAATTAGTGTAATTCATTTTTGTTGAGTTTTAGAAGCAATAGAAATAGGAATATTTGATATCATATGCTAATTTACTCACTTTAGACAATTTCAATATTCATATAATTGTTTTAACATAATAGCAGAAAATTTATAAGGTTGAAGATTAGTTGTTAGTCACAGTGGTTTTGAAATGTTATTAGATGCTGGTAATTGAAAGATGAACTCATAAACTAAATGACTCTCAAAATGGGAGAGAATGAAGGAGATAGGTCATTGTGATATGTACTTAAGGTCTGTATCTCTCATCTGATCCCATTTTTACTCTCTGCCACCAGTATAAGTAAGCCACTCTGCTTAGCTACAGACTCCATAACATGATACCCAATTGCACCATACATAGACAGAGAAACAGGATATTCATAGACAATGAACTAAAGCCTCTTAAACTATGCAACAAATAATTGTTTATTGCTATAAATTGTTTCCATGAGTTTTAGCTACACTGACAAAACCTGATCAATTCAATCCCAGATCTTCAAGGAAATATGCTCTTCATTATAAACGTAGAGTTTTAATTATTCATTTAAATAGAAACATTACCTAACTATACAGAATAAACTATAACTGCCTTAACATCCTGTGATAGTTGTTTGCCATGTTAGATATAGGGATGTAATCAAGGACAATTGAACTCTGAGCATTGGTAATATATTGCAAAGTATTTAATCAGGAAAAGGTTTAGTTTAAAATAAAAATGTCTTTGAAATATAATACAGAAGCTAATGGTTAATAATATGACTGAAAGGTATAAATATATCAATGAGGAAGCTGTTAATTATGAATAAAGCACATTCTCTTTTGACAACAATCTACTGAGAGTGAATTGATTCTTAGAGATAATATATTGCTTAAGGATTCCAATTTTCAACCATAAAACTGGAGCCTAAACTAACACAAAATAATGTAACTTTTTAAAAAGCATTTGACGTTGTAAATTAATAATATGAGATGAGGCTACATTTTCAATTCAAAAATATGATGTTATGCTATTTTGCAAGCATATTAGCAAAGTTAGATTGAATGCTGAAGATGAGCTAAACAATTTGGGGTATGAGATGTGTTAAACAAAGATGCATTTGTTCTTCTCTCTCTAATTCTCTTTTTCCCTTTTCTTTCTCACTCTGTGTGTATGTAGAAAAAAAAACAAGGTATAAAATCAACTATCTAGTGGTTAGTCATTATTTGGAATGTAGTAAAAATCAGAGAAGCTATGGCGATAGACAATGTCTCTGCACAGAGATCTGGTGTTGAGGGCAGGGAAGGAAGCAGAGGTGAGTTAAATTTTAATACAGAGTATTGTTGCAGTAAAGTAGATAAGTAGAGGAAAGCCTTACTCACCCACTTATCCATCAAGGTTCCAACACTTATTCTATTACAACTTCAAACAGGGCTGAATAATTGTTTAAACACTTCAACCTAAGAAGAATATTTCACATTCAAATCACAATAGCCATTGGGAAAAAAAGAAATTCAAACTGGATCAAAATTTTATTTTACCTCTATTAGAGTGGCAGTCATTAAGAAAACAATTAAGAAATACCCGAGTGTGTAGAAATAGTGGACAATGATGGATACAGTGAAATTAAATTAATTAACTTAATATGCAAATCAGTATTTATATGCCTCAAAAATTAAAAAACATATATATTATATTTTATATATATAATATATATTCCAGTTCTAAATGTTTATTTGAAACATCCCAAGTCTATAGAGATAACTTACAGAAAACCAGTGTTTACTGTGGCAGTCTTCATAATGCAAAGTTATTAAAACAAGCTAGTTGTCCATCAAGAAAATATTATAGGCCCCCGTGATCGCGCGGAGAAGTAAACAAACCGCGCGCGGGCTGCAGGGGCCGCAGCAGGCGCGGCGGGCACGGCTAGGGCGGCGGAGAGCTGGCCCGCCCTCCCGCCGCACAAGTCCGGGGTCATCGTGGGACTGTAGCAGTCTGTGGCGTCTCCTGTCGGCCGGGGGCGGGAGCTCGGAGTCCGTGGAGCGGATGTGGATGATCAATGTGCAGCGCCTGCTGGAGCGCAGGGAGCGAGAGTGTGAATATGGCTACGCCTCATCGTTCCCCTCCATGACCAGCCCCCGGCTACAGCATTCGAAGCCCCCACGGAGGTTTAGCAGGGCACAGAAACACAGCAGCGGGAGCAGCAACACCAGCACTGCCAACAGATCTACACACAATGAGTTGGAAAAGAACCGACGAGCGAACCGACGAGCTCACCTGCGCCTGTGTTTAGAACACTTAAAAGTTCTGACCCCGTTGGGCCCAGACTGCACCAGGCATACTACACTCGGTTTGCTCAACAAAGCCAAAGCACACATCAAGAAACTTGAAGAAGCTGAAAGGAAGAGCCAGCACCAGCTTGAGAACTTGGAACGAGAACAGAGGTTTTTTTTTTTAATAATTTATTTACTTTTTCTCAAATCGTAATTCATTCACACAGGGGTTATAAACACAGAAAGGCAGGATGCGGGGAAGGGTTGACACTGGAGTGTGGGTGTTCAGGGGGAATACAGATATCTTCAGAACCGGGTATTGGCTGGGTGAAGGTTCAGGGGACAGGTCACTATGACTCTGCCTATGACTCACTTGTCCTTATCTAAGTTGGTATTGTCTACCAAGGCTACCTATTTACAAGGTCTATGACTACTCAGGCTGGTAAATTATCACAAAAGCTGCCTGAGAACAGAGATTTTTAAAGCGGTGACTAGAACAGCTTAGGTCCTTATGAGATGGAGCGAATACGAATGGACAGCATTGGATCAGCCATCTCTTCATATCGCTCAGATTCAGAGCGAGAGGAGATTGAAGTGGATGTTGAAAGCACAGAGTTCTCCCATGGAGAAGTGGACAATATCAGTACCACCAGCATCAGTGACATTGACGACCACAGCAGCCTGCAGAGTATTGGGAGTGACGAGGGTTACTCCAGTGCCAGTGTCAAACTCTCCTTCATGTCCTAGAACCCAGCATGACACAGCAGTGCAGGGCGAAGCACTCACTGGACCAATTCAATACCATCTCTCAAATTGGGTTCATAATGCTGTCTCCTCTTTAAAACTAAAAACTATACTTGAACAAAAGGGTCAGAAGACCTGTATTTAAGCAAATACTTAACAAAAAGTGGGGTAGAGCCTCCCCAGTAGAACAAATATTCCTGTATTTGGAAAGAATACAATTTTTAACAGCAGCAGAAAACATGCGTGTGATTATCTTGAGTTGACTTGGTTGACTTAAGAGACAATGGAGACTTCATTCTCCTGTTCTAGTTTGCTCACTCTATGTTGAGCAGACATTTAAGGATAAGGTTATGAACCCTTCCTGAGCTTCTTGGCCCTAGAAACAAAATCAAACTTAGAGTAAGGAAAAGACAGGATAATCAGGCATTAATCTTGGATAGCTAAAGAGCTAGTAAAACTCAGCCTCTGTTTATCATGAAGCCTGTGGATGATCAATTCTTTTTTTTTAAAAAAAATGAATTTTTAAAAAGCCCATATCGTGCTCTACAAAAGGAGAGACTCCCATGAAGCCTTTTGAAAGAGATCACCATGCAGCTCAGATTTCTGTTGGATTCCATGCCAAGCCAGCTAACCTTACCTACATTGTTAGCACTAGAGCAGCCAACCGCACGCCCGCCCACCACCCTTTGGGAACGTAGGGACAGCCCATGCATGACAGCCTGAATCACAGTAGGAAAAGCTCCGTGGGCCTCGGTGTCTGCGAGGATCTGAGAAGTTGTGCAGGCAGTATAGCAGGCCAAGGTCTGAGCCACCGCGGCATTTTTATTTCAGATTTTGATAACTGTTTGTATGTGTTGAAAACCAAAATGACATCTTTTTAAAGCTTGTCCATAAGTAAACATAGATGTCTTTTATAGTGGAATAAACCACGTGGGGAAATCATCTATTTTGATGCAGCATTTGATAACGATAAACACCTCACGCCTCACTCTTCACAGTGCGCAGGAAGGATGAGGTCTGGGCTGGGTAGACGGAGGACAATGCTGTTTTTGGTTTCTTTAGGACCACTCCCCTTTACCAGCTTTTAACCTTCTGATATCCATAGTAGGCACGCTACCCTAGTTAACATAGTTACGTTCTGCGCTTGTCTCATTTAATGTAAAGATTCACATTTTCTACAGGCATTTCCCCCCAGTCCCACTGTGCAGGTGCTATTGTTGCTCTGACAAATACTTTCACAAATGTCATCTTCCAAGTGACTTTCTAGCCTGCACTCTGACGTCATGTGCTCCCTCTGTCTTTCAAACTCTGAGACTTCCCTCAGGGCCACAGCTTCGCCCTGGGAAGCCTTTCTGGAGACCTTACCCCAAGCTGTTTGGGCTTTGTATTCTTTAAATAATTTAACTACCATTCTTAAAAAAAAAAGCTTTATGATTTTCATAATTTATTACTGATTTTAATGGGTTGTTAATTTCAGTCCTGTAGTTTTATTTTATGTTTAGATAGGACTGGGCAAGGAAAAAGAAAATAAAAACAACCATATTTAGCAGTGCAAAAAAGATATTATAGATGTATGCCCCCTGGAATTTTATTCAGCCACAAAAATCCATTGAAAATAAATAATACTGAGGATATTCGTATTCATATTAAAGTGAATTATGTATTGCATAGGAAGATAAATATTGTGGAGTGTCTCTCAATTTTATATATATATAAAATTATATATATGTATATATATGCAGTTTTTTAAGAAAAAGGGTATAGTGGTAGGAAGGGGAATAATGGGATGAGGAGCCAGAAAAAGTTGAGAGAATGGGAGGCAACATAAGGAACGTGGCCCATGTACATGCACTTATATGAAAATGCCCTTATTCAGCAAAGTTATTGTATGTGAAATGATATACACTAATTAAATTGTAGAAGTCATGCAAGTAGAAAAAATTTATAAAATAGAGAGCTATCATTTATGTTATTGCTTCTTTATAATTTTTTATTTTTGTTACATATATGGAAATGTTCACAGTTTTATGCCTTCAATGTCCAGAAATGGCATATTTCACCAAATGAAGTATTATCTTGTTCTGGTCCCAGGAAAATTCTCACCCTTGAGAATATTCTATTATTATAGTTGGTTCGTGAAAATGTATTAAATATGAATCTTCATTAGTATAGGACAAGTCTCAAGGGATTAATCCGGGATAAGGCAAGTCGGCCTCAAGTCTGCATCCTATGCTCTCACAGCCTCCAGTACATTCAGTGAAGAACAGAAATCCATCGTCAAATAAGCAAAATAAAACATTCTGCTTTATACACAAACACAATCATCTGGAAATAGATAATGAATATGCAATGAGCTAGTAAGTTCTTGACTTTCTTTGTTATTTACTTGTGAGGCAGTATGTCACTTGGTGACTTAGAAATGTTATTTTTCTGTTAGATTTAGAAATCCTTAAATTCCCTCCTTTAGTTCTTTCTCTTAGCACAATAAAAGTTCTATGTTTACATTTAATGATATTTGAATAATTTGATGACCTATCCCATTGATAAAGATTTCTATGTTGTCAGAAAATAGAAATTAGGATAATTCATTAGTTCTTAGTTTCTCTGAGGAAGTTTCCTTTATAGCATAGCTTAGAGTCTTAGCCTGTTCCCCATTTCTGAAGAGCTGAAAAAACAATCATCTCATTAGTGGATTAATATTTCATGTTTAGATTCTATCATTGTATGGAATTGGAACATATAAAGTAGTTTCAAAATATGGTAAATAACCTCACCTTGACTTGTTCTGAAGTATTGAAAAATTTTCTGGATATGACAGGACCACTGGTTCATGAGCTCATGACAGTTTTTATTGCCAGCACAAGATCAACAAAGCATTATAAAATGGAGTACAAAGGGCTTCTTGTGAGAGTCCCTACCCTTAACTGAGGAGTTATGGGCACCAAATGGCTTCCAGGGAAGAGACAGTATGTTTTCTTTAACTGTGTAGTTTCTGGTAGGTCAAACAAGGTCCAGTATAGCCATAATTATATTGGTAGTACAAGCTGGATCAACAGTTTATAAAATCAAGTAAAAGATAAAACGAAGTTGAGAGGTGTAGAGGTGTAGAGAGATATACTACTGTAAAAAATATGTCATTCCTTCACTCTCAATACTTGTTTTCTTACTCTATGGTAATGTTTGTTTTCTGAGTATGACATACAGTTAAAACTTGTGCTCTTCATTGAATTAGATCAAGTACTTTTAGTCTAAGTTTGAACATTTAAGTTTGAACGTTTAAAAATTAAGTAAGCAAGTCTCTAATATATAACTACCAATGAAAATGCTATCCAAAAGGAGATGTTTGCCGGTGATGCTTTGTTTTATTTGGTTGGCTAAGGTTTCCTTTGCTGTTGCTCTGATTTCATTATAATCATTATTTTGCAATAATTTTTTTTATTTTGTCTTTCATGCTACCTATCTTCATATACTTTTTTCTGTTTTCCTCTCTTGATTTATGTATATCTTTCTCATGTATAATTATATTTTATTTCTCATATCTTTATTATTTAATTAAGTTATTTTTTTACAGTCCAGTCATTATCACCTACCCATTCAGGCCTCTGACAGTTCCTCATCTTAATAAATTTTTTTAGTTAGTTAATTAGTTTCTTTACTTTAAGTTAGGGCCTCACTTTATAGGCAGACAGGCTGAGAAGAAGCTTGCAAACCTCCTGCCTTGCTCACCTGAATGCTATGATTTCAGACATGAGTTAAAATGGCATTTCTTTTGTGATATTTGTCTCTGATCCCTGAAAAGAAAAGAAAATCTATTTATTTCTCTGACAGTTGTAGTACTAGACAACATTATATATGGATGACTATTTTAATTTAGGAAATGTTTATTTCTAAGATCTTTGAATGTACTAAAACACAACATCTAAATGTAATTGTTCAATATGCAAGAATAGCTACTGTGATCTATAGTGACCATGGTCACACAGAGTAGGTAATATCACTAATTTGCACACTCTCATGATGACAGTCATGCTACCACTGGCTGTAAGACACTACCTTTCTCTATGGCTTGTTTTTATAATTGTAACCTCATCACTTTTTTCTGTCAAATTCTTTGAAGTTAGTTGTGCTTCCCCTTCTTCCTAGCACTTTGCTTTTAAAGAACAAAAATCTAAGCAAGTATTTGTATTAATGGTGTGTTTTAAGATTTCAGTGATTAATTTAAGTGTAGTATTGAAAGATCATAGTGCATTGCAGACAGTTTATATACTCAAATTAAATCCTGAGGGAAAAATAATCACATATGTGCATTTGTACACACACACACACACACACACACATGTGCACACACGTACACAAACACCAAACACACTCAAATAGATGTATGCAACAAGGGAAGAGGAGAGAGACAGAGAGAGAGAGAGAGAGAGAGAGAGAGAGAGAGAATTCCAATCCAAGCTACAGCACTCAGTAGCTTTGAAGATGGTAGAAAAATTTCTTATGAAGAAAAATTTCTTGTGTGGTTTTGATAATTTATTAATTCGTCAACCTAGAGAAAATATTTTCTATAGTCTTTTATCAATTGAGATGTTCTCCAAAAACAATACAATTGTGTCACTTTCATAGTGTAATAAGTAAAAGCGATAAAATTTTAAAAATAAGAAAAATGATTTAAAGAAATATAAAAGACAGCCAGGTATTTCATACATTAAGGTATTTCACACATTAATGATAGGAATGAACCTAAGTAGTCTGAATCAATACTTACAAGTAAATTGCTCATATAGGTTGTGAAAAGTGTCTTTCATAAATACTTTTGTCAGATTCACCAATGTGAACACACTGTTCATTCGTGTAAACAAGGATGGAGAATTTTTGACTGAAGCAAAATTATTAAAAATCAGAAAATTAAAATGACAAATGTTTATATACTGGCAAGGAATGACATCTGTCCTGAGAAGCTATTTATGAAATTACATATTATAGACACATTTGCATATGTATTGTGGCATAATTGTTGTCTTTAGATTATTAAAATGCTG